AAAAAAAAAAAAAAAAAAAAAACACAGTTGAAGGCAAGTCTTTCTGCTTTAGCAGAGTGCTCACCACCTGGCTCTACCCTCTCCTGTTCTCAGGAACATATGACAGCTGGGGGGAACTGCCAGACCTTTTCATCCTCCACTGTCATCTCCTACTCCAACACGGGTGATGGCGCCCCCAAGGTCTACCAGGAGACCTCAGAGATGCGCTCAGCACCAGGCGGGGTAAGTGGGCAGAAGCAAGCCGCACTCTGGAATGGGCTGTGGGTGCTGGGGTGATGTAGCCAGAGCATTATAAGGGGGAAATGAGTGTGCTGGGTTCTGTCCTGGCACAGATCCGGGAGACACGGAGGACTGTCCGGGACTCAGACAGCGGACTGGAGCAGATGTCCATCGGCCACCACATCCGAGACAGGGCTCACATCCTCCAGCGCTCCCGAAACCACCGCACAGGGGACCAGGAGGAGCGGCAGGACTACATCAATTTGGATGAGAGTGAGGTTTCACTTTCCCCTGCAGGCAGCCCTGTCCTATGACCTGGATCCTAGCCACCTGCACTCACCCCACACATAGTTCTGGGGCACAGTTAAAGGTGAATGCCAGACCAAAGAGGCAGGTGCGGCTGAAGTCACATGTTCAGTGTATCTTCATATGGATCCATTGTTTTCTTTTTTTCCCCTTATGTTATCTTTTTCAAACCAGTGGATAATTTGTTAAACACCCACAGTTGGTATAATTACAGTTTTCTAAATCCAGTAGTCTTGCCTTTACCCTCCTGGTGCTAGGGACCAGAGAACTGAGTGCAGCCCCACCACCACTCATCCTCACCACTTTCGGCCTGGTTTTGGATCGCTGATAGCAGAGCTCGGTGCCATCTTGAGACTGCGCAGAGGTCCTGAAACTGCCCTGTTCTCCCCAGGTGAGGCTGCCGCCTTTGATGATGAGTGGCGGAGGGAGACGTCCCGCTTCCGGCAGCAGCGCCCTCTGGAGTTCCGGCGGCATGAGAGTTCCTCAGGTGGGGGCCGGAGGGCTGAGGGTCCTCCCCGCCTGGCCATCCAGGGACCTGAGGACTCCCCTTCCCGACAGTCCCGCCGCTATGACTGGTGAAGGCCCGGGGCCTCAGGCTCTCCTGTAAGTATCTAAGGGGATGGAGGTGGTGTGACAACTCCAGGTAGGGGCTGGGGAGCCAATCTGTGACCTTCCTCCGTCCCCAGCAGACAGGAATCTGGGTTCCCAGCTAATGCTGCCTGTGAACTGTGTACTTTCAGCTGGCATGGAAAACAGAAGATGCTGCCCTGGAGTAGAAGATGAAGCCCCTCCCCTAGTACTTATGTTTTTTCTTCCCTTTGACATGTGCTTGTCTTTCTCCTCTAGGTTCAGGCTGAGAGGCTGAGAAATCATCCCTGAAATAACTTTCTCCTCTCCAACTCCCACCCAATTTAATATTAAATTAACAAGCAAGCCGCCCCCCTCTCCCTGGGGGTCTCAGGGAGAACCTTTCACTGCCCCACCCATCTGCTCTGTCTTCCGGCCCCTTCCCGCCATACCTCCACCTGTCCTGTGTCCACTAACTTGAGTTTTCACTCTGCTGCTCCATCTCCATCCTCATTTCCCCATTGAGCTCTGCCATGCACTGAAGGGTCCTTGGGTGCAGGGGTCTCCCCCTTCCCTCAGCTGCCCTGCTCTTCACCACCTCTTCCTCAGCCTCTCTGCAGGCACCACAGCCCTGTCTGGGCGGGGAGGAGCAGACTGACCCTAACCCTTCCATCCCTGCTCCCACACATCGCAGAACTCTTCCCCATGCCCTTCTCTGTCTTTATTTTTTGATTTGTGCAACTTGTAACTAAGTGTTTATGGAATAAAGGAGAATGGAAAAAAGACTAGGTCTCTAGTTGGATTTTTTATCTTCTGTTGATCCTGTCTCCTGCTTGTTACCTTCCTTCTTGCCCTGCTATGCAGCCCAGACCTGCTGAGGGGCAATCAACAGAGCTAGGCCAGGCTGGGAGGGACATGGAGGCAGCTGTCCTGCCGCTCCCCCTGCAGCCCACATTGCTGTACCTTCACTCTGTAGGATCTGTAGGGCACAGCATGCCAGGTGCCTGAGGAATTGGCTACCCCTCCGCACTTGGCAGAGGTCCTCCAGGGCCTTGAACACTTGCACAGAGCAGTACGAAGTCCAGGAAACCTGCTCAGCCCTTGTGGGATGGGGGACCCTGAAGTCGGCAATCAGCAATGTTCCTCCAACCTCCACACTGCTTGCTGAGAATTTGAGCCCAGGGGAGGAGAATGAAGAACACTAACCTGGAACCTGAGCAGTCCTATGGTACAGGGAGCTCACATTTCTCAAGATGCTCACTTGCTTTCCAGCCAAACAGGTCACTCTGTCCCTCTGAGGAGCTCATTTTATAATGGCAAATGCTTATAAATAAGTCTTGAGACAGTTTCCTCTGTGTGTGAAGGGGTGTGGTGGGGGCTCCCCAATGCTAGGTGTGTACCTCACCACTGAGCTTTACCACAGCCAGCTTTCCTCTTTTTTTTTGGTTCTGGGAATCAAACTCATGACCTCAAACTTGCCAGGTAGATGCTGTGCCACTGAGGTACATCCCCAGCCCAGTTTGCCACTTTCTGAAAGGTTTCCGCTAGTAAGGCCCGAGAGACACTTGTAAGGCTCTGGGGACTCTCAGGGAAGGGAGGATTTTCCCTATGTCTCTGGTGGACAGATAGGTTCAAGAGGGTAGAGGGTGGGGTGGGATGCCACACACATGTAATCCCAGCACTCAGAAGGCTCAGGCAGAAGAATCAGTTGGATTTTTTTGCTTGTTGAGACAAAGTCTCTGAGAAGTACAGACTGGCCATGAACTATGTAACCTAGGTTGGCCTTACACTCATGGCGGTTTCCCTGCTTCAGCCTCCCTACTAGGGGAATTATTGACATGTACCACCATGTCCAGTTTGGATTGAGTGACTGACAGCTCCATCCAGGTGAGTATACACTGCCTTTAAGAGTGGAAGTGGGGCCAGGGAGATGGCTCAGTGGAATAAGTGCTTCCCTGGTAAATGCAAGGGCCTGAGTTCAATCCCCGGTTACGCAAAAAAAAAAAAAAAAGAGTGGAAGTGGCTCTAGCAGCTCCTGGAGGGTCACCACCAGTAGTTGTGAAAGGAGCCCTGGAGTTGCACAAGGGGCCCATGGCTCAGTCCACAGCCCAACTATGCCACTAGCTGAGCCATGTGGTCCAAAGCAGCTCATTTGCTTTCCTGGGCTTCAGTGTGCAGGTCCCTGCTAGCTACAAATCGGGCTGCAGTCAAGCGGATGTCAGGGCAGTGTCCACACCCATAAAGTGGAGGCTGGGCAGGGCCAGAGAATCTCTGAGCCCTGATTCTCAGGCACAGTGCTAGGAGGAATCAGCCTCAGGGCCTTGCCCATGCTAGGCCTGTGCCCTACAACTGAGCTGTGTCCCCAGCCCCATGGTACCAAATACCTGTTCCCTGGCTCTAGGCACAGGGCACCCTTCAGCCTGGGGCCCAGGACCAGTGCTCCCAGGAATGTATTGTGGGAGTTCAGGTGTAGCAAACAGTAGAGTGAGGTTCTGAGGCTTTGAGTGAGGTCGCCAGGTGACCCCTAAGAGCTGCCACTGTAGAGAGAAGCAGGGAGAGGAGGCTGGAAAGGGGTGCTGGCATGGAGGAGTGCTGTGGTCCTCTACAGCAAAGGCCAGCTCTTCATCTGGGTCCAGCCTCACCATTACAATGGCTTTCGCTCAGCCTCTGGCTCAGTTAATGTCCAGAGGACAGGAGCAGACTAACTCAAGCTCTTTGCCCACCCCTGAAAATTATAGGTCAGAGGAGGCAGGAACTTGGTATGGGGCCAAGCAGGGTGATAAAGAGGAGTAAAGCTAGCAATGAGCAAGCCCTGGCTCCGCCATTCAGGAGCCCCGACTCTAGGAAAGATCCCTTCCTTCATCGCTCTCAGCATCAGTTCCCTGCTCTGCAAAATGGGCCCTTTCTAGATACAGATGGCTCACAAATGTGAGAATTAAGAGTGCAGAAGAGAGTCTGACACAGTGTGGGGGATGTAAATGACTGTTCTCTCGTCCTCAGATTTCTCCCAATTTATCCACTCATGCCTTGCCCTTGGGGGTGTTTGTTGAGGCAAAGTCTCCCTGTGAAGTGCAGGCTGACCGAAAGCTATATAGCCTCACTCTACCCTCTGATGACCTGGAAATCATCCTCCCAGTCGGCCTGATTCCCAGTCCTCTGCTGTCCCAGCTGTGGGTCATTGTGTTTTCCCCTCAGATGGACAAGGCCCCCACCCTCCTTGCTGTTGGGAGTTTTTCCTCTCTTGCTATAACTTTCCCAGGCCTTAGAAGTACCCCTTGCTCCCCCTTCATCTACCCAGTCTCTAAGTCACAGAGAGCCAGAGCTGACCCACCCCAGAAACCCATGGGTCCAGCCTCCCGGCCCACATACCTACCTTTCAGCATAGGCTCCCAGCCCAGGAAGTGTCGCCCAGGGCCAGAAGGATCCCCAGCAGTGGTGTTCTCTTAGGCCCTTCCCTGTTGGGCTGGGGTGTGGGAAAGGAGCCTTTACTGGTTGCTCTTTGGCACCACTGAGGCCTTCAGATGAGAAAGGCGAGGGACAAGTGTGGCTTCTAGAGAGGTGGAGATATAGATGGAGACAGTCGGGATGGGAGGCCAGGAGGAAGCCTTGTTCTCCCAGGGAGCCTCAGGCTGGGCAGAGCCTGTGGACACAGAGCTAGGGCCCTGGGGTGCAGATGGCCCACAGGGTACTGCAGAAGGGGCTCAAGCCTGTGCAGTGCTGACAGCACGAGCCACTGCCTGTTTCTGCTCTTCCACAGTCTGGTCAGGCAGAGGAGCAGCAGGAGGACCCCTCTAGTCTGAGCCTCCAGACCATATGCAGAGTCCTTCCACACTCGTGGATGTGAAGAGGTGCCACTTCTGGTTTCCCGGCGCCTTCCCCCTCCTCTCTGTCTGCTTTGTCACCAGCAACCTGGAAAGTACATACCTGGAAAGCTCTTCCAGGACATCGCTGTCCTCCAGCTATTAGGGGTCCAGAGGAAACTGCACTGACCCAAGTGGGTGAAACGGGAGAGAAAGAGGCACAAGAAAGGTCTGTAGGGCTGACACTGGGTCTCGAGAAAATGCAGCAGCTGAGCATGGCAGTACATGGCTATAGTCCCAGCACTCAGGAGCTCTGCAATTTGAGGCCAAGCTGAAATATGCAGCCAGATCCTGTATCCATAAAATAAAAATGAAAATGGAGAGCCAGGGAGATAGCTCAGTAGAATAAGTGCCTCCCTGGCAAGCACAGGGTCCTGAGTTCAATTCCTGGTACCACACACACACACACACACACACACACACACACACACACACAAAGTAAAGAAAGGAAAAATGGAATAAAAATAATTTGGGGAAGCTAGACAGCTCAGTGGATTAAAGCACCTGCTTAGGAAAGTGCAAAGGCCAGGGTTCAATCCTCACCGTGCTGTGCTGGTCCCACCCCCGCCACCCCTGGGGCATGCCGAGATGGGGATTGAGACTGGGTGTGGTGGCACATGCCTGTAATCCCAGTGCTTGGGAGGCTGAAAACAAGAGAATCACTATGAGTTTGATCTATGTAGTGAGACCCTGTAGACCCTGCACTAAACACATTAAAAAAAAAAAAAAAAAAAGCCAACCAAAAGAAAGAAATAGTTAAGGGTGATACTCAGGTGGGAAATGGTTTGGTGAAAGTAAGCAAAGCTATGACCTTAAAAAACCACTGGGGGGAAAAATAAAAATAAAAATGAAAATAAAAATAAACCACTGAGGACTGGGCTGGGGAGATAGCTCAGCGGCATAAGCACCTGCCTGGCAAGCACAAGGGCCTAAATTTAATCCCCAGTACTGGAAATAAAAACAAAAACAAAGGACCAGGGAGATAGCTCAGTAGAATAAGAGCTTTCCTGGCAAGTGCAAGGTCCTGAGTTCAATCCCTGGCACAGCAAAAAAAAAAAAAAAAAAAAAAAAAAAAAAAAAAAAAACATCGGGGGAGCCCAGTAGTGGCACATGCCTGCACTTCCAGCACTTGGGAGGCTGAAGTAAGAGGGTTACAAATTGAAGCCCAGCCTGGACAATTTACCAATTCAGTGTGACCCTCCCTCAAAATAAAAATAAAAGGGCTGGGGATAGCTCAGTGCAAAGGCCTTGGGCTCAGTCCTTAGCACAGCAAGTACATACATGCAAACTTTTTAAAAAACCCTATAACTGGGATGAGAATTATCAATTTACCAATTCAGAGAGAATGTGACCAGGAAGGGCAAGCTGATTCCCAGTACAGACAGATCTTAATTTAAGCCACCCTGGTGTATCATATAAATGACAATGTCCAAGCTGGGAGACCTTACAGACCTTATAAGAGAACTTACCTTGTTGCTTTCACCCAATAAAAACCAAATTGCTGGTCACAGAGGATTCCAGCGCAGCCTAACTGCAATCACAGACTCAAAGACTCAGTTTTACTGCTGCAGAATAGGTGAATGGCAACAACTCCCTGCAGTGCAGTCAGCCCAGGACCCAAGTCGAAACTGACACAAATGTTACTGACATACTGGAGAATACTTTGCCCTGGGGGGCCTGTAAATAGCAAGTTCCTTAGTAGGATTGATTGACTGATTGATTGATTGATTGATTGATTGGCTGATTGGCAGGGGAACTGACTTTGCAGTTCAGTCTGTCCTTGAATTGATTCACACCAATTCACACCAATCCTCTTGCCTCAACCTTCGAGTGCTAGGACTACAGTCAGAGACTACCAGGCCCAGCTCAACAAACTTTTTGAAAAATTTTTGATACAGGGTCTCACTACATACCTGGGACTCATA